TCAGAAATGCAAGATACTCATTATGCTGCAAAAGCCAAAGGAATTTGCTCAGTAGCCTTGAAAATCTTAATATTTTGACTTCGGTGCTTCACAATTAAAGTTATCAGAGTTTGTACACCCTACCCACTCTTGGACTCTCAGTTTAGATGGGCAAAGATAGCATAAGTTTCACACCAGTTCTGCCTAATTTCTGATGAGTCTGCCTTTCCACATCACACTAAACAATGACCGTTAACGGGATGTCATAAGGAAGATCAACAACTCTTGCATTTCAGAGCAAGAGTTCAGTAATCTCATGGGTCACAATGATTTCCATGTTTTAAACGTATTTTGGTAGTGCTGACAATTACATATTTCAGTCCTAACTTAATGCCAGTTTCTGTCAGTACCAGCAGGGTGTCTGTATGAATCACTGAATAATTTCCTATCTTAACTCCCTGTATGATCTGAGTTGGGAAGAAGTGGTTCAACAGACTAGGATTTTCAGTAAGACTGATATTGTCTCAACAGAGATTTTTCAAGTGATTTTTTCATGATTAAATGTTATAAATTGCAAACATGTACTTAAGCATTAAACACTCATATTCAGCACAGATTATACCATACAGCTGCCGAACTGCGGAGAGCAGCAACCTACTCTGTTCATCTCTCGTTCCAGGGAACTTTTCACAGCAGTGCCCTAAGTCACAATAAAAGATTATTCACCTTAACTAGTCTGAATTGTAGCAATTAACTTTCTGAAGGTTTCTTAAGTTGTTATGTTACCTTTTAGAAGGAATACTTGTTCTGCAGTTCATGGTGTAATTTTAATAGATTATCAGATACCAAATACATTCAATTTGGAACACTTCCAGACCTGTAAATGACAAAAACTAGAAGTAGAGAACATCTACTGTCTGCTTATCTGCAATAACATTCTTGCAGTGTCCTGTGTTGGAGGTGTTCCAAGCTAAATATATGTAGTCCTATCTGATCTATGCAGCTTTGAGCATGTCTAGTACAAGGTAAAAGTTAGATTTCTTTAATAATCAAATATATGTATTTCGAAGAGCAAAGTCTGCTTTGTGTAGAAAGTTATGGACCAGCATTTCTTACTGTTAGGATTAGAATCTCAGCATTACACAAAGAGTATGTCACCTGTCCCCTACTGCGTGAGGATGGAGACACCCAAACTGTGACAACTGGGAAGAAAGGAAGGAAGGAAGGAAGAGAGAGAAAGAGAGACAGAGAGAGAGAAAGAGAGACAGAGAGAGAAAGAAAGAGAGAAAGAGAGAGAGAAAGAGAGGAAGAGAGAGAAAGAGAGAGAGAAAGAGAGAAAGAGAGAGAGAGAGAAAGAGAAAAAGAGAGAGAGCGAAAGAGCGACAAAGCAAAAGAGTGAAAGAGCGAAAGAGTGAAAGAGCGAAAGAAAGAGCGAAAGAGCGAAAGAAAGAGTGAAAGAGTGAAAGAGCGAAAGAGAGAAAGAAAGCGAAAGAAAGAGCAAAAGAAAGTGAAAGAAAGCGAAAGAGAGAAAGAGTGAAAGAGCGAAAGAGAGAGCAAAAGAAAGAGAGCAAAAGAGAGAACGAAAGAAAGAAGAGAGAAAGAAAGCGAGAAAGCGAGAAAGTGAGAAAGTAAGCAAGCGAGCGAGCAAGCAACAAGCAAGCAAGCAAGCAAGCAAGCAAGAAAGCAAGAAAGAGAGAAAGAGAGAAAGAAAGAAGGAAAGACTACTTGTAAAAATACAAGCTTGTGCCTATTTCAGAGTGGAAAATCCCAACAGTTTCTGTCCTTCTAAAAAGTCAAAGTATTTTCTAGATAAGAGATAATTCTATTCCCACAATACTCTTCTACAATGTAAAGTATATATTTATCTATTAAATGCTGGAAGGGAAATGTCTAAAACAAATATATGGCTTTCAGACTGTAGTAGCCCAACACAGACTAACATAAAAATACCAAGTAGAATCATAAACTTTCTGGTAAAGCCATTTCCTTCAATATAAGCATATAGTGACATTTGAGCTGCACAAGGGGTTTGAAGACATTGATATGACTCCAGCAAGGTGGCATAGGACCTAGAGGACTGTCCTGGACTGACATCTCGGGGCAACTAGGAAAGGCCACATCATTTTAGACAGTGTTAGTATTAGGTTTAGGTAAGTGAATCCAGTCACAGGTTATCTCTGGCTGATTCTGGTGGCACATTGATTTCATTAGCTGGATTGTCAGCTAGCCCTACTAATAGCTCTGCTTTCATCTGTGGGCTGCTGGCTATTAAATCGTATCTCATTTAATGAATATAGGACTGTAACAGATCTCAAGTATAGAAGCCAAATAGTTTGCCCCCTAGACTACAACGAACACAGTAAAAAAGGAACTGCTAACAACTTTGTCAATATCCTACACATGATCACATCTGAAAAGAAAGTTTACTTGTAGTCTGGAATGCTTGTTTGGTAAGTTATTAATATTTTTTAATCCCTGTAAAAAAACACATGGGGAAATGATTTACAGCTTCTTACAGCATAAAACTTTCATTTTACTTGCAGACAGAGAATTACATAAGTCAGACCAAAGTTTATGAAGCTCTCAATCTTGTGTTTTAGCTCTGTCAATGTCGTGCACCAATACAACTCATAGTTTAATTACAGTCTGCATTGTGAACCACTATGTTTCATTTGTTCCTCTTCGATCTTGTATGCAACAAGTGAAATCAGTAGGTTATGAGAGGAATATTACGCATTAAAGTCTAGAAAGTAGTATCACATAGTCATATCTCATGTAGTTCTTCAGGGTGTAGAGTGGCTAAGGTTCATTCATTAGTCATGAAAAGATAACAAGTAACAATGAAATCATTGACCAAAGGAGGGAAAAAATAGACAGAATCTAACATTTTCCAAGAAATATTAACAACAAAACTATGTAAACTTTCACACAAATTATCTGTAATATACGACTGTTCTGTAATCCAGTATTTGACAGAACAGTAGAGTCCACTAAAATTACAGTGCTTGAAGCGTACATTTTTATTTAAGCGAAATGTGTGAGAGTGGTGATGGGGAAAACATCACAGAATGTAAATAGCAGGAAGCTGTAATAAACAGCAGCATGGGATGTGAGGAAAAGGAAATAATTTCTCCACTTGGCTAAAAGGAATCCTAGACTGAAAGTGAATAGGAAAGTTATACAATTGGGATGGTCATGAACAGGTCGTCTAAGCAATAGTTAGAATTTCCTAGAAAAAGGGAGGGGAGTCAGGCATTCATAGATATGAGAACACAGGGAAGTTAAAGGAATTATTGACATTAATGGTAATGCTTGGAGCCAGTCTCAACAGATAAGGCCCAATGATAGGACAAGCAAATTGCTCAAGATAGCAATTTCAGAGAGAAGACTTTTTTAACAATACACAAGATTTAGAGAGAAAAGAAAAGACTCTCAGGAAGCATGGTAGTGAAGGTGATTCATGCAATCTAAGAGTGAAAGAGGGAAACAGAAAGGAAGAAAGAGGGTAAAGTATGTGTTAAATGAATGAATGGTGTGGAAAATAAAACAATGATTACCATTCTGTTTGGAAAAGTTTGGAAAAGTTGAAACTTCACCCAAGGTAGTATCTCTAAAACCTGTCTAAGCAGATTTCAGACTGTCCCAATAGATATGAGAAAAGGATAAATGCTATAATTTTCCAAAGAAGTTATAATAATTCACTTTATTGTTAGAGTATCAGATTATAGATTATTAGAGATTATTAGAGTAGACCCCAATGTTTAAACCAGGGAAAAAAACAAACAAACAAAAAAAAACCCCAAACCAAAAGCAAACAAACAAACAAAAAAAAAAAACACAGAAAAATCTGCTGCATAAAGATAGAACTGAAAAGCTATATTGCAAATAAAAGTGAACAAATCTTATTTAGACATTGCCTTTTTTCATGAGACTGAAAGATGACAATCTCTCAGTCAGGCAAACATTGTAACCCAAAATGTTAAGGTCTGAAAGTGCAGCACAAAAAACTTTCAAATGTACCATTCTACTTTCAAGCTCAAGCTCTTGAGCTTGCCGTCTGAGATGGAAGAGCTGAAGGATACATCCAAAAAGAAGTAACTGAGCTGGTAAACTTGGATATCATGGTATTATAGCAATGAGAATGGGCACACTTCATTCATGTGACAGAGTGAATGGCTGACATTTGTTCATGTCCGCATAGCTCTTAGAGATTACTATTGTGAGAAACTAGTTCTCTCTTACCCAGAAATTACTTGGATTTTTCTAAAGGCCATAAAGTCTTGCTCCAACCATATGTCCAAACACAAAAATCATCAATGATAATTATGCCATACTCTTTAATTCAGAAAGTATGTTACATATAACTAATAAGTTGTAAGATTAATCTCATTATTATAATCTCAACAGTTAAAAGCAAAAAAGCCTCCATTGCCAGATGGTTTAGATGATGCCTGATACATGAATTAACTGAGTGAGCTTTTCAAGCATCTGTATAGTCTCAATAAAAGAAATAATATCATTTCTCTTTATAACTATACTATTATAATGTACCCTGAATGTATTAAAGCATAACTTAAGGTGGCTTTTATTGTAGTGAATACTTTCTAGCTTTGGGAATTATTCCTGCCAACCTTCTAGTGAGAAGGACTTAGTTTGTTTCCAGAGCTAACAAGTCTGTCTTTTCCTTCAGAGCTGCCCTCAAGTACTTGAAGAACCTAATTTAAAATCTGGGGATCTGCCTGCTGAGAGGAAGCAATTTTAGAGGTAAAACAAGGAGGTCTTAAACTGTGTCCCGGTAAGAAATTTGTAGTATCCGTCTAAATAGATTGTTTCAGCAGCATTGCTTCATTGATGTCTCAGCTCGGTGAAAAGACTGTTGCTTTTGGTCTTAAAAATAAGTAGTGTCATTTTCTCTTTGCAATGAATTCTTTCATCCAATCGTATTCGCGTATGCAAATACACCATAGCTGGTACAGATAAAAAAGCACAAATAAAGCTAAGAGCTCAGTCAGGACAAAAATCACTGTGCTTCCCTTATCCCTCATTTCACCTGTGTTTCAGGAACGTCCTCAGACTCCTCAACTGAAAATATGAAGAAGCAAGGTTCAGAAAGCAATCCTGGTCCAGTTTTGCCAGCACTGCCAGAACCACTCAAAGACCTGAAAATTAAGTACACCAAGGTTAGTAGCATTCATGTTTCTTAATTTTTCTTACACATTCAGCTCAGACAGTAGGATGTTCTCATTTTAATCTTATATGAACCACTAAAGAAACTGTAAATGAGCGATTAAAATATTTATTCTGGCCTGTTTCTCATATTATACATATTAGCAATTAATGCTCAGCGATCCTTTTAACCTATGCGTTTCAGGAGATGTGCAACTGTGATAGAATCATTCCACATTTCACTTGGGGTGGGTGTTATTTTTCTCCTGAAACAAACTTTCTGCAGTGATAAGTTTCTCAGAAAATAAAGATGGAACAAAGAAGAAAGTTTCTATTATTACCTTATTTTTCAGAACAGCAAGAACAAATTAAAATGTTAGCATATTACATCATATTACAATCAGATTTAAATAGTTATACAAAATAAGCTTGTGTGGACAAGGATTTGTGAAAATGAAACTAAAGTAAAATTTATTCCACTCACGTATTTTCCTTAGAGATAATGAATCTGTTTTTCAGCTTAAACAAGTAACTATCGATAAAACAGATAAAGTCTACCATCACTAATTACTCAGTATTATAATAAACTTTTTGTAATAGCAAATGCTTTCCTTATGCATTTAGAAACATGCAGATAAGGAAGGTCTGAATCCAGACTTGTGTTCTCAGCTTGAAAAGACCCTTTGCCTGGTTTATATCATAATACACAGATATCTGCAAGAACTTCGAACAAACTGTTGTCAGAAATTATTGAGATTCCACTCTCTGAAACATTCAGATAGAACAATTGATCAGAAAGGACCTCTTCTTTTTGGAGACTCCTCAGTTACTGTTTGGGGTTTTTTTCTTGTTGCCATTGCACTGGAATAAATATTTTTTTCTAATATCACTGCTTATTTTCTTTTTGAAAATAAGGTGTTCAACAATTATTTAGATAGTGCTTTTCAATTCCATTCTAACTTTTTTTTTTTTTCATGGAAAAGCTCTAACCAGAGATCAGTGCGTATCTTTCTTGAATAAATCACACAGGACCTTACTTTGTAAATATTTAACATGCTACGAAAGCTATGTAGTTCTGCCATGTGATAGCTCTCTATTGCTCTTCCTGTCTTGGGATAAAAAAAAAAAACAACAAAACAAAACAAACAAAAAAACCCCAACTCAACTCAGAGAAGAAACTTTTGTACTTAGGTCACAGTGGTGTTCTAGAAATTGCAGGTCTATTTGTTTGATTTTTATTTTTCCAAATTTTATTTTTCATATTTTTTCATATGAGCAAAATGCCAGCTCAGAAATCTAACTGTGAAGAGACCAATTTCTGCAAACATTTCTATTCTTCTAAAATATTTAGTTTGCCAAAACCTATTCAATTAATAAAAAAAAGAAACCACAAGGCAGCCAGCAAGGCTGAAATGTCTATAGTGTGCAATTAAGGAGAATGTCTGATAACAAATCCTTGTTTCTTTTGCCTTGAAAATAGATACTATTTCCTTAAAAACTGCAGATAATGTGTAACTGCTGAAGTGTATTGAACTTATTCACAAAAGTGTGTACATGCAAGCAATCAAATCCAGTACACCCTTGCATATGCTTGATTTTCACAATGTTTTCCTTCTCTCTTCCAATATCACACAGGATTGTCTAAAAGCCATAACAGTGTGCTGAGGGACAGGGAGATGAGATAATAGATATGTCATCCCATACGCAGCAGTTGTCCCACCATTTAATAATGCCTTTCTACTCTTGTCTTCTTACCCATGCTGTTCTTCTCCTGTCCCATGCAAGTTAGAATGTGGGGTGTGGGATTGTTTTGACTACTTATGTTGGAGGGATCAAGATGAGAGAAGCATTAATTACTCCTGGTAATCTTTCTGTCTGAAACACCTGGGATATCAGCAAACCCCTAGCTCTAGAAACACTATTTTCCTATTTTATACTGTTGTATACTATCAACTGTCATGACACTTGGATCTGAAGAAAGGTCTAGCAGGAGATGTTCCAAGGACTTTCCTCTTTACTTAACACTCTATCTTATTTTCTATGAGAGGGGTAATTCTGGGCCTTTTATAGAGATCATTTAACTAAGTATTTCCATATGAGGATGGATCTATAGGTTCGTATAGCTACATTTTAAATTATGTCTTTCACATAGAGCATAAAACTAAGCACTCTTCAGGGAATTTCAGTTTCAAGAATGAAATTGAATGCATTTTAAATAGCTAAATTGGCTTGGATATTGAAGCACAAACTGATCGTGAATTCATATCTGAATCTCCTTTAAAGATATTTCAGTGAACTGAATGAGTGTTGGTAGCTGGCTAAAACTGTATTAGTAAATATTTTACTTAGTTAACATTGAAGAATTAGAAAATGATTCCTTGACAAATTATTTCTGTCATGATGCTTTCACGTACACTAAGCCCTGTGGTGCTTCTTTAACCAGAGAAACTCAGATTAGTTAATTATTAGGTTGTCAAATTACATGAGGGGGAAAAAACAGCAGCACATTCTCTCACTAAGCTGCGTGCAGAATATCAGAAAGTGTGGAAGGGCAAGCCACTCTGAGTGAAGTACAATTGTAGATGAGTATCAAATATGTTGCAATCACCAGCTTCACAAAAAGGATGAGGGGTAAACACACAGAAATTTAATTAGAATATCTGGGGAAAGGTAATCAGCTGTAAAGTTACTATAAAAACATACTCATTTTAAGATAGAGTTGACTTTGTAGATACAAAGACTGTAGCTGACAAATCAAAAGGTTTAAATAAATAATGAAGAGTAAGTATGTTCTCTGACTATTAGTCCATTGCAGCAGTAAAACGTAATTCGTGCATCAATAATATAATACAATTCTAATGGGGGAAAAAGTTACATGAAATACTGGCCAAATACCAAAATCTTGTAAAGAAAATCCTGGGGAAAAATAGAGGTATCACAGCAGGCATCCTATATTGATATGTTTGTTCAAAGCTTACAATTTCAACCTTTAGTATTTCCTTAAATAATTTCACACATTTTAACTCTATTGCTCAAAGAATACCCTGAGACTCCATGACATATTTTAGGACTAGCCAATCAGAATTTATAGCACTTGAAATGAGCCTCCTCTTGGGTCACAAATCTCTTTCAGGTTTAGATGTAAATGCCAGATTAACTGTTGTTGTCAAACTCAAGAATACTTGAATGACTCTCATAATCCTAAGAGTGAGTGTGAATAGGGGCCAGAACTTTTCAGCACTGAACATCACCTCACCTGAGTGATGGTCCGTTGCCTCCAGCATGAGAGAGCCCAGCCACAGCCCTGGTGCCTCCTCACTGTTCCTGGCCTCTAAAGCAATGCTGGTGGTGTTATTCCCTGGCATCTCTGTAGTATGAATTATAGTTTATAACAGTAATAGTGAAATACATAAAAATTCTCCCATGGCAAAGAATAAGTTTATAGACAGATGCTGAATATTGCATCATGTATAGGATCTTTGCAACATGAGAAGTATTTTCCTCTCTAAACTGCATTTCTAAGTCACTTTTACAGAAGCACTGAAGTCTGAAACCCTGTACAGTCTTTGCACAATATTGAATACACAAAAAAGGGATCCTTATTCACAGGAAGACACAGCAAGAAGTCATGTTTCATAAGGTGGTGGTACCTAATATAAAGGCTGTAAAATCAATTTAGTCAGAGCTATGGTGTGGTCATTCCGAGATAAAACTTTCTGGAGTCAAAGTTTCTTCCTCATGCAGCACAGACACGAATATGGCAGATCCCATCTAGCAGATACTTTAAAAAATGAACCCACAGTCCCTTCAAAATATTCAAATGCTGAAGGGAAAAAAAACCCAAACCAAACCCAAACATAAAAACCCTACAAAAACCAAACAAACACAACATTAGGATGACAGAGAAAGATAAAGAGCAGGTCTTGTCTCCCCATTCTCTGATCAGGTCATCTGAGTGACCAAATCAGCTGCCTGAACAATGACAGAGATACTGTAGTCTTGCAGGTAACTTCAACTCCAAATGGTGATTTGATCAGATTATCTAAACTGAAATTAATGATTTCAGAGAATCACGATTTTATTGCATTCCAGGACACTGGGAAATAAAGACAGACAGAGGATTTTTGACATGAGACTGTTACTGGAGTCTATTATGAATATTAAACTTCAGTAGTGTACAATCTTGTCTATAAGAAATGTGTATTTCCACGTCTAGTGCAAAGAAGTCTTGAAAGTCATTAATTCTTTAGATTGCTGAAATAAAACCCATCTTCTCTCCTAAAAGTACTAGTGAAATGACAGTTATAAAATGCCTACAACAGCATTTCTAAATCCTTGCAAGATAAATTTGCAGCTCTAAATCTCATAGACCATAGTCAGTCATCACAGACAACCCCCGGAACAGCATGTGCTGGACAAGGGTAGGTCTTTTACATTTATGTCTCACAACCCAGCACAAAAAGAATCTGAGCTTCCAGTGGAGTTCTGCTTGACAAGCAAAACACTCTAACTTATTGCAAGATGATTGCAAATGGTGTTTTTCAGGAGGGCAGGAGAGTTGCCAGAGGTTGCTATTGGCTGGTACTTCAATGTTGCCTGGATTTAGAGATCCACATCCTTTTTGCAGCATAGACTCCACAGCATTAAATGAGCGGCATGCACATTTATCAGCACAGCAGCCTGCAATGTATGTAGTACTGCTTACATGGACAGTTTTGACTTTTTCCTTCTCTGTCTTGGCTTTCATACCTGCATATGCAGGACTACTATCTAGCTTATGGAAGACATCTGGATAGTTTGATTTATACAGCCTTGATACAATGTTGTGTATATATTTAACATAATGAAGTTATCTTTTAAATGGGAATGCTATTAGAAACATTAATAAGAAAGGTATTCTAAACTAGTATTATGGGTGATATTGGATGGTACAATAAATGTAGTATTTAAACAAATACTTTAAAAACTTCCAAAAATGGTATGCTTTGCTATTATTCCTTTCAGAGACAGATATGAATTTGGCATACTGTAACATCATAGCAGTGTTATGTTAATATTTACCTTTTACTTTGTCTCTTTCCTTGGCAATGTAGCTAGTTACTAAAGATGGCATTTTTCACATTAACCGTTTAACTGCTGTCTCTGCCCTTGTGTAAGTCAGAATTTTCTGTGGATATGCTTATAATCAACTTCATCATATATATGAAATTTTCAGGGACTTAGATTTTTTTTTTTCACTGACAGTTTTTGTTAAACAGGAGTTTGCTGGTCCACCTTGATGGTTGGAGGCAGAAATGACACTCTGTGTATGGTGCCCACATATAAACAAGTCGAAACATACAGGAATTCATTCATAGCAAATTGTTAGCATATGCATTTCAAGAAAATCTGTTTATTGATCTTCACAGTGATTACCAATCTGTTCACCAATTATTAATCACCACCCTGACAGTCAATGTAAGCACTTTCAGTACTATGCAAAAAATCTCTTCTCTGAAAGCTGTCATCCTTTCATAACATATGTGGTTGCTGGGGTAGGGTTTAAATCCCAGGTCTGTATGACAAAAAAACATCTATCCTGCAGTTTTGGTGTTCTGACTTTGTCATGTCCTGAGTCAGCTATCATTTGCTTTGCTTTGCTTTCCCCAAAGTGCTTTCTGCAAGCTAAGTGCCAGTGACTGAAGGTTGGACAAGATGCTGTGAATCTAATGATAGGCACAGTTTGAGCACAAAATACCTGGTACTGTCAGTCAGAGACTGCCATGGCCTCAATGATGAGCATGATCAAGATCTCACACATATGCCTGCAATGCAGAAGCGCTATAAGGGATCAAGAAGGGAGGACTCCAGCCCATCAGCAGCAGGAAGGTGGGCTCAGGCACTGGGTGGGCAGCTTAGGGTGATGACCCCTTTTCAGCACTGAACCGAACCCAGAGATCGCAGAGATGGTTAGTCAGAGGATGACAAGTACAGTTAACATTGAACTGTATGCATTATAACATCCAGTTTAAAGAATAACCTACACAACACTTGCTAGCAATGTCTTCTGCTCTTTTCAACATCTGTGCCATTATCAGATTTTTCTGGTGTGGTTTTCCTTTCTGTTTCAAGTCTAACCTACATAATCAGGATTAAAAAGTTAACTGACAATTTCACCATCAGTGTCTCAGAGATGGCAGGCTTTAGGGTAGCACAGATCTTGTGCACCTATGGGTAAGGCCCAAGTTATATTCTGTGTTTGTGAACAGAGATAAGTACCTCAAATTTCACCCAGACATCCTTAGCCTTTATTCCTCTTGTCTTCTAAATTTCCAGCTATATAACTTCTCAGCAATTACAAATAAAGCAGAGCATACTTTCAGTAGCTTGTTTTATTATCACTCAGCAACTGAATCAATTTGTTTATATCATCATTAATATGACAGAAGAGAAAATTCAGAACTATTACAGTTATTTTAACAATGTTATGAAGTACATCTTTTAAAAGATAACGTCTACCTTTTCATAGTAGTGTGTATGGTACTTTACAACTGAAAAATAATGATTTTTCAGGAACAATTGCAGTGGCTTCTTTTCTTGTTCATTTGTTTGCTGTAATGGAAAAGCAGACTAATTTCTACAGATTTCATCAACAGTCATCTTAATATTCAGTAACCAAAAACCTAGAAAGACACAGGACAGTTTACTCCTGAAACCCTTGAAAGAGAAGGAAAGTGCCATACCAAACAGACAACAAAATTAATAAACAAAGCAGACTTGGTGGGAGTCTTGTGATGTCTTTGGAGGAAGTATTCTTGAATGACACTGATGCCATCTAGACTTTAGAAGGACTTCAAACATTTAATTATTCCTTCAGCTGTAACAGTACCTTTGCCAAGTATTTATCCCATATAAAAGGGCCTAGGTTTGAATTTCTGGGGTTATTATACCACAAAAGGTTACGGATCATAACAATTCAACATGGGAAATAACAATGCCCACCTTACTTGTTTAGTTTTTGTTCTAAGTGCACCAGCAATGTTGCAATCAAGGGGTGACGGTATTTGTTCCAGCCATACAATGTAAATTCCGTACACAGTGTGCTTTCAGCCAGTATAAAAGTTTACTCTTTGAGCAAGGACACTGTTCCTAACTTTTATTAAATCAACTTTGGGTATCAATTTCATTGCTGCTGGGTAAGCTGTTACGATTAACTAGCTGCTGTGCAACTGTGCTCTTTTGTGCTTTTTAGTAGCTAGCTGTATGCTTTGTACTTCAGGGAAATCTTGAAATAAAAATGTTACATAAAAATACAGAATATTCCAGGATGATTGAGCACAGCACAACTTTAGTTTATTTTCTTGGTTTTAATGTTAGACTTTTTCCAGTCCTTGTAATGTAAAAGTCTGTACAAAACAGTTAAATGAAGAATGCACACTGGCCTTGTTTGCCTAGCACAAGGAAAACAAGAAACCAACAAAACCAAGGAAACCAAAGAAAAAATACAGAAGTAACTTCACCTTTCAAAAGCAGGAAATGCACCATGCGTTGAACATCAAAACCTGAGAGGTTAGAATTCCTCATGTTTTGCAGAGAAACTTTCAGACAGGGAGGGGAGGGAAAAGAGCACTCCCAGCCCCCTCCGCCCCCCAACACGCACACACACTCGTGACCATGAGCTGTAATCTTGCCAAGGTGTGGGGGCATGTGCACTGTCAGCACCTACATACGCCATATCTTTGCATGATTATATTCACATGCTGAGTGCAAGATTATGGTAATACGGCATAACCCTTCTTCTGTACCCATAGTATAACCCTTGGGGAATAACAAGCATTGTGAGCTGAGAATGTTCAGATTGTGATCCTGCAAATAGTCTTTCCAAAGGAGGAGTATGAAATAGCTTTGAAAACTATGACCAGCAGCACCACTTTCCCATATATTTTCATATAGGACCGAATAAGTATTATAGGATTGTATGTGTAGCTGAGGATGACAGTCATCTTTTGCCCATAAGCCCCCCATTAAATTCCTGTCCTTGTCAGCTCTTGGACATTTTAATCTGGCAACTGTAAACATTTTGGTATGTGCTGGTTCAATCTGGAAGGATAGTCCTCCTTTGTAAGATTATAACAGGCAGAAAAACAGCAATTAGAGAAATAGGTGTATGTGATTTGATCAGGAGAGTAATTAAACTCTTTTTTCAGGGCAACAATTGCATATGGGAGAGGGCATTTCTCCCAGTATGTGCTGTGAAGTATGTTTTTAAGATAGTGCCCTTAGTGAAATACACCAACTAGCAACAGCAAGGACAGTGTAGGCTTTCTCTAAGTTTGCTAACAGGGAATGCATCCATCATTTCCTCTTGATTTGTGATTGCTACCTTTATTTAATGAAGTAAATTCTGCTTTTCCCATAAAAGATTAAAAGATTAACAGCATTATGTTTTTGCTTTTAAATTTTGGTTAGGATCACATTCAATGAAGCCCCAATCTGCGAAGCCAAGGGATTTTGATGTAAAATAAAAATACCCTCCCTTAATCTCTAATTTTTTTTTTTCTCCTGTAACATGAATACAGAGAACTATACTTGCTTGATTTTTACCCTGTTTAAATAGTTCTTTCTTTGTTTCACTCAGTTATTGTGGTGGGGTTTGTTTAGTCAACTTTAATTTCAGAAAAATCATATTATTGGTCATTTTTTGT